TCACCGTAGCTGTAAATATTATTTTGTTATAGAGACAAATTCCTTATTAATTTCTTTCTTTTAAAATTAATATGTTTGAATATTTAGACACTGTGAGTATTTGTTAATTTCAAATGTTATAATGAATATTGGACCAAAATCTTTTATCGTTATGGTCGTTGTAAACTAGCAACACAAAGGGAAGTAATTCGAATTGCACATTGTGCACGCAAAACGAAAGTAGAAAGGAGGTCATGAATAAGTCTCCAAGTTTTTCTATAGACATTGCTACCCGCAACCATCACTATCACTCTTTCTTTTCCGAGTTTCTTCGCCTTACTTGAGCCATTGATGATTTTTTTATCACGTTTGTCAAAATCTTAACTGTCGATACAGGATAGATCATTAGCGGGACAATAATTACCCCACGCGAGACTTCTCTAATGACCAGTGGGCACAGGTAAAAATAAGTGGCCGAATTAGAGGAGATAATTTGTACTAATTATGAGCAGTTAGTTCTGTAAATAGCGGCCGGTTTACAGAATAGGCAAGATCCAGATTGAACAACATTTATTAAACATAAATTATAAAGAAAATTCAAGGGACTAAAATATTACGCCGGACTGAACAACATGCCGGAATGCACAACATCCCGATTCAACAAGTTTTACTTTATATATATATATATATATATATATATATATATATATATATATATATATATATATATATATATATATATATATATATATATATTAGGGATGGCAATGAATATTCAAACATTTGAATATTCATTAGATGAGTTGATATTCGAATACGAATTTAAGATTCGAATATTCGGTGTTTTCAGATTTCATAAAAAAAAAGTACTGTGATTAATAAATTTTTATTAGAATAGTGCTGGAATTATCCCTGTTTAATTTACTAGCGATCAATTTCGATCGCCTGATTTCTTACACTACTTTCTTAGCTTATAAATCTACTAAATAACATGTATTTTGTTTTGAGTAAGGTGTTAAAGAATTGTACAATAATGCTTTATGTATAATACAAAACGTACTTTCATAGTTTTTATTAGTTAGATACAATCAGATCTAGAATTGAGGACAACAAATGAAATCTAGGAATGTCTTAATGGCGTGAAGAGTATACACATATACTTATCAAAATAAAATTAATTGATCATTGAATGAATGTCTGATAGAATTAATCTGTAATTAATATTGTAAAGGGCTTAATTTCAGAATAAATGTGTAAATTACTTGATTATCTCGGGTTGTACATAATCATGAATTTTATATTCATTATCGGGAAATAAGTTAATTACCTAGGAAAATTGTCTATGGAAATATTTGTTTACATTGTATCAAAGATTATAATCATATCACTTATCAGGCAGATAATTGTAATTTATTATACGTATTGAAATCTGAACAGTATACCGTTACGACTATCTTGCCTTTTGTAAGACGACTGGTTCCTCAGTTGGAGCTACTATAAATACACATTTCATTTGTTAAAATTATACTTTTCTACATTTAAATAAATTATTTATTTCAAACATAGACAAATATCAAATGGAATTTCTTATTGTACACCTACAAAAGTCTTAATACAATTTTACTTCCAATATAAGCATTCCTATGCTAAACCTTTCATGAGAGTAGGATGATGCATATTTAAGATAAAACAGATTTTATTTATTTTATCGAATATTCGAATATATTCGAAAACTTTCATTGAATATTCGAATATGAATTATTGACAAAATTGACATCCCTTATATATATATATATATATATATATATATCTGTAGCCTTTAGAAGAGACAAAAATTTGAAAGACATTTTAGTTTATAGAAAGCATAACAATTTATTATACCCCACGCAATAAGTTGCGGGGGGTATAATGTTTTTGACCCGTCCGTCAGTCAGTCAGTCAGTCTGTCAGTCCTGTTTTTTTTGTCAGGGGAACTCCTCTTAAACCGCTGCGCAGAATTTCGTCAAACTTTGCAGATATTTAGGACACAATGTGTAGATCTGCATATTACCAGGAAATTCTGATTCCTTTATTTTTCTGGGAATTTCAGCACTTTTCAACTTAGATTTTTGGCCATATCTTGTGTAGATGTGCATATTACCAGGAAATTCTGAATCCATTATTTTTGCCCTAAGAGTTTTGTCTATTATTGAAGAAACTTTCCAGCTAGGTAATAAGGAAATTCACTGGAACCAGCTTTTGTAATGAATTTTTATGTGAAATATTTTATGACCTTAAAAAACCCCTATTGATTTTGAGATCAAAATATTAATGATTTAACACACACGCACACACAAAATCTTGGATAGTTCTCACCCCCACCCCCACTCCCATCAAATTGGTGCTTAATTGCCTTAAATAATTTCATAAGAACAGTATATAAACAAATTCATATGACTACATCATAATTTTGTTTCCATCAATTATTTAAATGTGTAAATTGTCATGTGTTGGACATGGACTTACACTCATTAACAAATCAAAATCACTGAGGAATTTAAATAACAGTTTGTCAGCATAACTCCTGCACTGAATTTCCGGAAACTTATAGGTATTTCAGACATAATGTATAGATTTGTATATTACCAAGAAATTTTGATTCCATTATTTATCTAGAAACTTCAGCCCAATTAAATTTGTAACATACAAAGATTTGAATGTCTTTATATGCAAGAAGTTTTGATGTGATGATTTTTTGCAAGTAATGCCCCTTTTTTGAATTATACTGTGTAATTAAAAAGCACTGTGCCATTCATTACGTGTTGCATTGTGGAATTTTGGGGGAGCGTGGGGTATGTGAGCTTGCTCACTTTTTCTTTCATTTTTTAAGAAAGGAAAATTTATTTGAGCCGTGTGGAGCTTAAAAATGTATTCTGTGTAAATATGTTGTTAATACCAGCCAGTTCGAAGATAATAATGGAAACATCTTTCAGATAAAAAATTATATCAATTGTAAATCTACGAATGTTGTGTATGGAGTTTTTTTGTAAGAAGTGTAACAAAATAGTGTATGTGGGAGAAACTGACGGGAGTTTATATCAGAGACATGTTCTGAATTTATCTTTAATCAGAAGAGAAACAAATGACCCTGTGGCTGCTCATTTTTATTCAGGCATACACACAGTAGATGATTATAATATAATAGGCATTGAAAAACTGTATAAGAATGGCATTTAAATGTAAATATAGAGAAAATCTATAGAAGGAAAAGTTAAATACTTAATATGTACCATTTGGCATCAACAAAAGGGAACACTTCTGTCCTTGAATAACATAATGAACATTTGTGTGTTACTGAATACTGTGATTTTTTTTTTAAAGATATATATTTTCATACGCTTTAAAATCACCTTTTTTTGTATATACATATATGTAAATAGTATTTTATCTAATGCCCTCATAAGTTGGTATTTTGTATGGTATGATAAAACTCATGTTAATACAATTATAATATTTGCTCTCGCAATATTTTCAATGTTTTTAGTGCCATTTCATTGCATGACATTGCCTCTCAGTTTGTATGTTCACTGTGATGTCATAATACATTGTTCAATGTTGAGTTGCTATGCATTCAAATAAACACGACTGATGAAGGCCGGTAACACGGTCGAAATATTTCAAAAAGTGTTTGAAAGTTTTTTATTTATATATATATATATATATATATATATATATATATATATATATATATATATATATATATATATATATATATATATATATATGTTATATTTAGAGTACGAGTTTCCTACTGTATCGGAGATACAGGGCGGGGCTTAAGGCGAGAGCGATAGCTCGAGCCGGGCCCCGCCCTGTATCTCCGATACAGTAGGAAACGAGTATTCTAAATGACTTGTGACATGACCTTTCTTATGACCTCGCTAATTTACATGTGTTTTTGGGTATATATCTCTCAACCAATCAGATGATTTTGCAGAAAGTTGATTTAGTACCCAATTTTTAGCAATCACAACTGAAATGCCGAGTGAGGTGGACGTGCAGGTATTTATCAATTTAACTAATTATAATTATGAGATGCATTATATAATATTTTTTCCCAAAATTTAATTTATATTTGATTCCTTTCTATTTAGCTCTTCCTGACTTTTTTTTTAATGTAAGCTACGAATTTAGTGCAAAACATTTTGATACATAAGAATCATATTTGGGAATGTATTTGAAGCAAAAATGTTTCGGGGAGCACTGTCGGGGAGGTTGTATTCTGAGAGAAATGTCGGACAATGTCATCGACTGGTCCATACATGCTCCAAATTGAAATAAACAAATGTAAGAAAGGGGGCATATTACCTTCATGTTTGAAAAAAGAATGTAGAGGAACCAAACTGAAAGGTAGATCCAGCACTCACTCACGCGCGTCGGTATCCCCCCTTTCGAGTTTTTTCTTTTAATTTTTTTGGCTTTCGTAAATTATGTTTGCTAAACTTGTATACACTTTTAATTTATCAACACGAAACGATCACGCTCATATAGTGTCAGGCCTGATTATGAATCTAACCACCCCCCACCCCCCCACGAAACCCCCGATTTTCCAGTTAGGACATTTTTTTTTCCGAAGAAAACCATTTGTGTACTGCCCCCACTCTCTCCTTTCTAAAATCTTTGAATCCGCCACTGGTAACTTTACGTTGTAAAATTCTATTCTTAATTCATCTCAAATTTTGAATAAATACTAACAGCGCTATCTTACGATTTGATTGATTCTTATGTCTATATCATTTAAGATACGGATTCAGTTTTCCGTCATCGCTAAAAATAAATCATACTGTATCGTTGATATTTTGCAGATACAGTACAGTTTCTGCTCATTTGCATAAGAAACACCTACTAAAAGTGTTCTGTATCGCAGTTATTGTACGGCTGACTTCAAAGGAAAACTTGCCGGGTCATGTCACAAATATATTTAATGGTTACATACAATCAAACATAGTATCTTATTGGCTCCTGTGATTTTTTATATTTAGGATGCAAAGATAGCTGCTCCTTTTCAAATTTTACCAGTTTACTATCGGACATGATGGTCACAGATATCAAAACAGAATGTCAATTAGAAAAGCCTAGGTCCAGAAAAAGTCAGACTCCAGGTGAGTTCTACAGGCAGTAAGCAATGTGGAGCAATTAAGTGAAATGTAAACAAAAATTTTTTTTCCATGTACAGTAAAACCCTGTTATCGTAAAGTTCTTGGGACCTGAGAATTTACTTCATAATTCATTATATCCTTATAACGAATTCGTTAAAGTATAAAAAAGTAGCGAATTCACAATATAGATTTTTTCCTTTAAGTATGACTACCAACTATATTCAGGGAAGTATAAAATACTAAATTTACCTTGCAGTTCAAACATTTTCAGATGTATATAGCATTCTAAATAAAAAATAAATATACTTTAAAATCCATGTCAGTTTAATATTTTAAAAATTGAGTTCTTTGAAAATTCGCTATAAAAGATGTAAATTTCGTTACTTTTAACTTCTAAAGTGCACAGAATCAGTTCACTAGCTATAACCAGAAATTTGCTATATCCAAGTTTGTTATATCGGTAATATTTTATAGGGAATTGTTGAGAACTTCGCTAGGGATTGAAAAAAACTTTACTTTATCAGTAAATTCACTATATCTGTGTTCATACTAAACAAGTTTTACTGTAATCAGAAATTACTTTTTTTGTTGTTTTAAAAATTACATTTCTACAACTTGAGCAGTGATACATGTCTTCAACAGAAAAAAAATATGTAGTACATGTATGTTGTGATAAGAAATAGATGGTTTAAGTAAGGATTAATTAGCACTTCTTACTTTTGTGTCTTAATTACCTAATTTAGGATACAGAAAAAGCAAATTTCTACCTATTACAGCAATAAACCATTTTGGGTTTATGCAGTAAAAAGCTGTTATGAAGAACATGCTTAAATAAGGAAAGTTGCAAGGAACTTTTTAGATGGCCCCTATTGATTTTGAGGTCACAAGGTCAAGGGTCAAGCATCAGAATATATTGACCACTCAATAACTTCTGAACCCATTGCTAACAGACATCAAACTTGGTACACTGATTTTTTTAAAGGAGTAAATGACCTCTATGAGGTCACAAAGTCAAAGGGCAGGAGTCAAACTGGACATGAGAAGATATTGACCACTCAATATCTTGAAAAACTTATGCTGAAAAGACAACAAACTTGAAACACTGGAGTCCCTCTAAGAAGTAAATTACTCCTAAGAATATTTAGATCTTACAGATATGAAACTTAGTTTTATATTTACTCCTGTCTAGTGGATGATCAATTGTTTTTACTGTAATTACAGATATTACAAATTTAAACTTGTTCCCATTTGAGCTCACCTAAATGAAGTCGATATGAGCTTATGCTATACTGTTGGCGTCGGAGTTAGCGTTGGTGTCCCTGTTTAAGTTTTAGGAGCAAGTCCATTCCCAAGTAACTATAAGCCCAACTTGGACCAAACTTGCATAGATGATGCATCTAAAGTTGGAAACTTCCAGACTTGCTTCAGATGCTGGATCTGACCTACATTTTCCAGATGAGTGACCAGGTTAAAGTTTTTGGAGTAGGTCCATTCCCAAGTAACTATAATCCCTACCTGGACCAAACTTGCATGGATGATGCATCAATGGACACTACAAGACTTGCTACTGATTCTGGATCTGACCCTTACAAGATGAGTGACCAGCATAAAGTTTTCGAGCAGATCCATTCCCAAGTAAAGCCTCAGTCAGATTTCCCGGCCGGTGGCCTTAGACCGGTGGTAATCAGTGATGTGAGTGATGCCCCAACATCATTCCTCATCAGCCAAGTAGTCCTTTAACACATCTGTCACAGCAACAGGCATCTTACAGAGGCTGAATGAATGTTGTAAATGCGAAAAATAACACACTTATAAAGGCAATATTATAAATTATAATATTTGTATTTATTATAAATATTACTTATAATTATTATTGATAATAATGTTATATAATAATAATTATCATTTATAATATTTATATTAAATTTATATTATTATATATTTATATATTAATAAATTATATTATATTTATAATAAATTATAATATTTATATTAAATATAATATTATAAATAAGCATCGCTCATCATAGACCAATATATATTACAACGCTCATACATTGGTGAACATTGTTCATGCATCGGTCGTACATTGGTCGACTATGGGCCAATGTTTGGTCGAACTTCGACCGATGATCGGACGATGTCTCTTGCCCACCACTCACCCCCAATGACCTCAGTTTCAACGGACACTGGACAATGCTCGGCCATACATCAGCCGATCCTTGAAAGATGTGCTAATGATGGGTTGCTGATGAGGAGTGATTTGGGGGCATCGGTGGAGACTTCGCTGATTTTTAACAACAACTTATTTTCATCCGATGACCCCCACCGATTCACCCGATGGCCTCAGTCACTGTCCAATTACTATGGGTGTCTGGCTGGCAACCATACCATTTTTATAAAAAAAAACACATAGGTTGCCCATTGTATACCCCATCGCTGGATAATGTGACTGATACTTAACTATAAGCTCTACCTGGACCAAACTTGCATTGATGATGCATCTAGGAATGGACACAACCCAACCTGCTTCAGATGCTGGATCTGACTCATATTTTCAAGCTGAGAGAATTTAGCCATTCTTTAACCAAATTAGCATGGATGATGTATCTAGGGACTTTCTTCGTATGCTGAATCTGACCTACATTTTCCAGATGAGTGAGCAGGATAATGTTTTTGGAGTAGCTCTATAATTATATGGCTTGTTTAAACTTGCATGGATGATGCATCTAAGAATGCATGGCCATAGAAATCGGGGGGGGGGGGGGGGGGGGGGGGGGGCATGCCCCCAATAATTCTGCCAACATATAGATTACTATAGAAAACATAGCTACTATATGCTTGTGCCCCCTCAATAAAAACGTTTGATGACCTTTTTTTTTTCTTGTCAAGGAATTTTTGGTAGTTGACAGTGCCCCCCCCCCCCAACTGAAAATGTATGGCTGTGCCCCCCTCCCCCCCCCCCCCAACTGAAATTGCTTCCTACAGGCCTGGGATGGACACTTCAAGACTTGCTTCGGATGTTGGAACTGACCAACATTTTCTTGATCAGTGAACAGGTCAAAGTCTTTAGAGCATGTCCATTTCCAAGTAACTTTAAGTTCAACTTAAACAAAACTTACATGGATATTGATCTTAGGATTCACACTACTTAGAAAGAAATAATGTGAATTTGTCTTACCCATAGATAATATTCCACGAGGTGAGCTTTGATTACCTATGTTTAACATTTTCATAATGTGGGGCATATATGGTTTTTTTTTGAATGATTTCTTGTTCTTTCTTGATTTTGAACAGTTTCAGTTTCTTCTTAGGCCAATACTTAAAAGGAATTTTCAGTGTATTTGCAATTTCACATTGTCAGATATATTAATTTTAAAATTTTACATGTGATTCAAATTTTTTGTCAAATCTATTCAAAACCTCCAGGCACATGTAAAGAATAGATTTTCTAACTTCATTTTCAGAGATAGACTACAAACAGCTAGGTCCTATTGTGTTATCAATAGTGTTTGTTGTGGTTATGTCATTGACAATGTTATGTCGTTGAATTCACAAATCTGTATTTGATATAATTTTCTTTCTCATTTTACTTTTCCATTTCAGTATTAATTAACTTTGATTGATTTCCTTTTTTGTAATAAAATAATTATATGTGTAATTGAGTTTTGGTGTTATAAATCATAAACAAAAGGCTCATGGGATACAATTCTCATCTGAGTAGCCTAAACTGCTATTTTCAGAAAAGATTCAATTACCCTGTGACTTTATATTATAACCTCACCCTAACTCTGAGGAGTATTTGAATCTACATGTGTGTGTGTTGGGGGGGGGGGGGGGGGCTTTGATATCAATATGATTAAATGTCATTGACATTGTGGAAAATAAAGTTATGGAGAATAAAACTCATTTCCGGTTAGCCTTTATGACCCAGAATTTAATTCAGATTCTAGCCAACTCTAACTTACAGCCCATAGCTTGAAAAAAGTTAAATCCAAAGAACTTAAAAACATTTGCAAATTAAATATTCTATTGTGGTTCTTAAGAATTTTTTTTTAGCTCACCTGAGCTGAAAGCTCATGTGAGCTTTTCTAATCACATTTTGTCTGTAGTCCGTCTGTCCGTCTGTCTGTAAACTTTTCACATTTTTGACTTCTTCTCTAGAACCACAGGACCAATTTCAACCAAACTTGCCACAAAGCATCCTTTGGTGAAGGGGATTTAAATTTGTTCAAATGAAGGGCCTCGCCCTCTTCCAAGGGAAGATGATTAAGAACTGGTGAAAATTTGGTGTCATCTTTTGAAAATCTCCTTCTCAAGAACCATTGGGCTAGAAAAGTTAAAACTTATGTGAAACCTTCATTACATAGTGTAAATTCAAGTTTGTTCAAATTATGACCCCCGGGGGCAGGGTGGGGTCACAATGAGGGATCAATTTTTTACATAGGAATATATAGAAAAAAAATCTTTAAAAAACTTCTTCTCAAGAACAACAAAGCCACAACTAGTCATATTGATATGGATATGTATATGGAAGCATCCTCAGGTAGTGTATATTCAAGGCGGTTCGAATCATGACCCCCAGGGGTAGGGTGGGCCCACAATGGGGGATCAAAGTTTTACATAGGAATATATAGGAAAAATCTCCAAAAATCTTTTCAAGAACAGGAAAGCCATGATTAGTTCTATTGATATGGAAGCATTTCCAGGTATTGTAGATTCGAGTTTGTTCAAGGCATCCTCCAGTAGTAGGGTGGGGCTATAATGGGGGATCAAAGTTATACAAAAGAACATTTATAGGAAATATCTTTAAAAATCTTCTTGTCAAGAACAACAAAGCCATGATTAGTCATATTGATATGGAAGCATCCTCAGGTAGTGTAGATTCAAGTTTGTTCAAATCATGACACCCCCACCCCCCACGGGTAGGGTGGCAGACATCTTTGAAATTCCATTTTCAAGAACAGCAAAGCCATGATTAGTTATATGAATACAGATGCATCCTCAGAAAGTTAAGATTCAGTTTCATTGAAAACATTGCACCTGGGGGTAGGGTAAACCTAGAACAGGCGATCAAAGCTTTACATATGAATACATGTATATAGGAGAAGAAATCTGCTGATGAAGAACAGCAGGGCCATATTGACTCAGGTGAGCATTGTGGCCAATGGACCTCTTGTTGATTTTTTTAATGCTATCTGCTTTCATCAGCCTTCCTGCAACTTGTGTCATCAGTTGAACATTCTCAAGTTCTTCTGTGGAACTACTATACCCATTTCAATCAATTTTGGCATATGACATTTATGGGTGAAGGGAAAAATTTTTGATTTTCATGGTACCAACTCATTGAGGAATGGGGGGAAACCATCAACATTAATGCAGTTAAAAAAAAATTACTCCTGAACATCACGCAGTCAAACTCTTGGCATGATTGTACCAAAATTGTAAAATCCATGGCTCCTAGATCAGGGTGTCTGGTGTTAGGGTGGAGCTCCAAAAATTATATAGTGAAAATGCATAATTTTTTCTCCCTGTTGATTATTAAGCAAGCAAACTAAGTGCATGATGATGATGAACAAGGGTGTCAAAATTATAAAATTCATGCCTCAGGGTCAGGGGTTATGGGGTTAGGGTGGGGCTCTAGTGATTGTATAGTGAAAGTGCATTATTGCTGATAAATTCTTCTTCTCTGCTCCTGGGTCTTTAATTGAAATTCATAGCCCTAGGGGTAGAGGTCCTGTTGTTAGGATGGGGCCATATTGATTATACAGTATAAATGCATTATTTCCTTCAATGTTTTCTCTCCTTCAGGTGTTAAGCAAAGTTAACATACTAAGTTCCTGGTTTTTAAGAGCACGAGTACCTCTGGAATTATGAATGCCATGGCCCCTGGGTCAGTGGTTAGAGCAGGGCTCTAATATATAGTGGAAATGCATTAATCCTTTTAAAAATCTTTTCTGCTTCTTAGTATTCAGCAGATACACTAAATGCATGGTTATGATGAGTAAGGATGCCTCTTCCAGAATTGTGTAATTCATAACCCCAGGCTCAGGTGTCTGGTTGATTGATTACATAGGAAAATATGGGAATTTTTTAAAAAAAATCTTTTTCTCAAGAATAGCAAAGGTATGATTAAACATATTGATATGGAAGCATCCTCAGCTAGTGTAGATATAAATTTGTTCAAATTAAACCCCCCAAAGGTAGGATGGGCCCAAATGAATATGTAGGAAATATCTTTAAAATCTTTTGTCAAGAACAAAAAGCCATGTTTTGTCAAATTCATGTAGAAGCATCCTCGGGTAGTGTAAATTTAGATTCATTCAAATGAATGATCCACGGGTTAAGGTGGAGCCACAATGGGTGAGCAAGTTTCATATAGAATATATAGGAAAATCTTTTAAAATTTTCTTGTTCGAAACAGCAAAGCCATGATTAGTCATATTTCTATGGAAGTTTCCATGCCCTTGGGGTCCTTGGGCTACAAAAAGTAATTAAATAAAGTTTTACACATATGGAGAAATAAATCTGATTGTCTAATTTGTATATTTCTGCCATATTGCATTTTTCCAAACAAATTTTAAGAGATATATAAAGATATCTTAAAGATGCACCCCGTCCATGTTGCCATGGTTAGATATTCTCTGTCTAATGTTACATGAAATGTAAAATAAAAATAATGAATGCTAAAATCAGCCTGCCATTTCTAATGAAAAATCATAAACATATAGAGTGTTATATCCTATATTGAAATTTTCCATGCTTTAATCTTCCAAACTGGCTAAGTTTCATTGGTGTATGCCATGTAACAAATATCTAACCAGGTCCCTATAGTCATAAGTAGGCTGAAATTAAAAGTTAGTATCCATTTTATTAGGAATTCTGCAACATTTTTCACGCTATAATTATTGTTTCTATCACATATAAACACTTAAAATATAATATGTTGTGAAGCATATTATACAGTTATATTTCAGCAGTTTGATAGGGGGTGAAAAATTATATAATAAAACAATAAATACTCAATTTTGAATGATTGTTATTAAAGGTCAGATGATACGTTCCTCAAATATCTGTTTTGTATACATGTATCTTCGTAAATTATGAAAAAAATATTCAAAATTATAATTACCTTGTGATTTCTAAACTGGTTTCTTAAAAAAATCAAAACGCTAAAAAAATGTGATATTCGCAAATTAAATTATTTCCAAAAGGATTACATAGGAAACACCATCTTCTGGTATCTTGCACAAATACTTCATAAGGTACCTTAAATTTTTGTGAAAAAACATGTTAAAGTAACAGTACTTCAATGACAAAATGTCATAAAAAATTATATATTATTGAGGAACGTATCGTCTGTCCTTAAAGGTGTTTAGACTCTGTTGTACTAGTGTTTGCATAATTTTTATTTACAACAGTGCTTTAAAACACACAATTTGATTGGTTGATGAAAATGTAAGCAATTTATGGTTAGTCAAGAGGAACTGTTCTTATTTTCAGGGGATTCTTTTATGGGTGTTGCTATTTTGGGAGCACTGACAGGACTGTTTTTGGTCATTCTGGTTGGAGCCTATTGGATTTACTGTAAACAAAAAAACAATACTACATATCAGCTTATACCATTGACTGAGGAACCCTGAAAAAACAGAAACTACTAAGGATATTGAGAAAGTGCTCATAATTTGACAAGGAATAAGAGCAAATAAATTTATTGTTTATAAATTGTAAAGGTTTAAATTACTCTGAACATAAGATAATATTGTCCAACCAGTATCTTGTGAACCTTTTGCGTAAAAGACATCGAATTTGGCACTATGGCACCCCTAAGGAGTAGAAGACCTAGTTGGTGTTTAAGTCACAAGGTTTGTGGACATGATAGAGATCAAATTTTAGTATTATGGTTGCCCCAGACTAGTGGATAACCAATTGTACTTGACAGAGATTTAAACAACTTGTGCACTAGTTTTTGGATTCAATGAATCATGTTGCTATGGTTACAGAGAATATAAAAATTTCAGTGCAACTTTCCAAAACTCTACTCTTCCAACCGTTTTGACCGTCACGGTAGCTCAGTCGGTAGAGCACTCCATGATCTGAAGGTCGTATGTTCAAATCACGGCCGCAACTGACATGTAAGTCTATGGAATGCCTCAACTGCCTTATGTGGAGAACATTCATTATATGCTGATACTTTGACATTATTTGCTGATACTTTAACATTATATGCTGATAGTTTGTCATTATATGCTGATAGTTTGTCATTATATGTTATATGCTGATACTTCAACATTATATGCTGATACTTTAACATTATATGATGATTGATTGATTTTATGTTGTTTAACGTCCCATTCGAGAATTTTTCACTCATATAGGAACGTCACCATATACCGGTGAAGGGCTTTAAATTTTGACCTTTACTCGGCACTCAGGGCCATTGAGCAGTGAGGGATCTTTATCGTGCCAACGCCTGCCTTGACACGGGGCCTTGGTTTTTAAGGTTTCATCCGAAGGACCTGCAACTTTCACTTCAAAGTGCTGAGCGCATGGCGAAGGACTAGTTGCTACTCATTTTTTATCGACTTGGGTCATTCGCGGCTGAGATTTGAACTCACGACCTCCCGATCATGGAGCAAGCGCTCTACCGACTGAGCTACCGTGAACAGTACATTATATGATGATACTTTAACATAATATGATGATACTTCATTATATGGTGCTTTAAAAGATAACGTACGCTCAACTAGGACCTAAGGTCACCTGCTCATTCACAACTATCAAACCTGTTTACTCCGCGACAAAATATAGTGCATTGCAACTGCAAAGTGAAAGTTGAGTAAATCCTTCTACTGGAAGCCTTTACATATGTAATATACAACTAACAGATATTGCATGTCTTTAAAGTATAATCATCTGATGTTAGAAAAGATACAAAAGAGGGTCAAGCAAGCAACATTAACTATTAAATTTTAGAGCTATATGATATAATTTATATGCTAATGAATTACGTCAGGTGACCTGTGGTCTCCCTTATGATAAACCACGTTACGCGACCGTATCAAAGTAACACACTAGCAAACCTCTGGTCTCCTTATTAATATATCAGAGTAGGTGACCTTTTGTCTCTGCATGCGCAGATCTACCAGGAAGGGGGGATTAATTAGATCATGCCCTCCTTGGATTTTTCACTGATACTTTTAGATAATGGTATAATGATTTGGTGATAAATTACGTTAGGTGACCTCTGGTCTCCCAAATAATATACCAAAAGTAGGAAACCTTAGCAATATACCGGTAACACTCTAGCTATTCCTCTGGCCTCCATATTGATATTACAGAAAAGGTGTTTCCCTTGTATTTGATGAGTGAAAATTTAATGGAAGGGAGATGCTGAACTCAAGTCACCACCCCCGCTAGATCTGTAAATGGCGAAACAAAACTAACCAAAAATAGACTTATCAAAAATACTTAGAAAACACAGACCCCTTGAGAATTTTTTCTTAGAATGATATACATGTTTATGAAGACAAGCAAATTGTCCAAACACACAACTCCATTGCGACGAAATAAATTTAGTAATTATGGAGAAATTGTGTACCTTTTTGTTTTTGCTTGTCATTAAAATCAGAGTCTGTGTTCGGAAAATAATACTTCATATTAATAATAAAATAATTCTTCATCCTCCATCGTGTTCATGTTCTTCTTCGCCCTATAACTATAGTCCTGCTGGACACGTTATTACTGGTGACGTAAATATAGTTAATAATGAGGAACTTAGATCACTAATTTTAAAAGGTCCTAAATTTAGGGAACCCAGATCCTTCAACTGGCGTCGGAATTTCATAAATATTATGGATTCTGTAGAGGACTACGCCAGGCGATGGACCAGACATGAAAAAGAAGACCTTGAAATAGCGCATTAAAAGATTGAGAGGCAATATGAAAACCATCTATCCTTCTGTATTCAATAATCCAGAAGTGAAAAAAGAATTAGATAGATTACATGATCAGTACGTACTGGTCCCTGCTGACAAAGCAGGTAACAACATTGTTTGTAAGGCTCATTATATTAAATGTATTTTAGAGGAACTTGGATTTAATTCTACAAGTGGTAATCCAACTTATACTCATAGTTCCCTTTCTAAGGAAGAAATTCTTCAAAATCATATGTCAGTTTTGAATATTTTTAATATTCCAAACAACCAAAATGAATTTGAATTACCATATTTATATTGGATTCCGAAACTTCATAAAAATCCTTACAAACAAAGATACATAGCGGGTTCCAGTAAATGTTCAACCAAGCCTCTATCTTTACTCCTCACTAAGATATTAACAGTGGTGAAGGAGAAACTTCAAGAGTACTGTGCAACAATATATTCTAGAAGTGGTGTAAATCAGATGTGGATACTTAAAAATTCCAAGGAACTTTTGGAAAATTTGGAATCACAAGATTTTACCAAAATCAACAGATTAAAAACTTACGACTTTTCAACTTTGTACACAACCATTCCCCACGATAAATTAAAGTCCAGGCTTTTTGATATCATTGACAGCTGCTTTTTCAATAAAAATCGTTAATATACTTACCTTGTCATTGGTCATTTGCAAAATTATTTTGTTAAAAAACATTCTGATTGTTCACACAAGTACTCTGAAGTTGACATTAAAAAGATGCTTGAGTTTCTGATTGACAATATCTATGTGGTTTTTGGAAACCAGGTCTTCCAACAATCTATTGGAATTCCCTTGGGTACCAATTGCGCCCCGTTATTAGCAGACCTTTTTTTGTATTCATATGAAGCAGAATTTGTCCAAAATCTTGTACGTGAAAAGAAGAAAACACTTGCTGTGGCCTTCAACTCGACATTTAGATATATCGACGACGTATTGTCAATTAACAATGGCTATTTCCATTCTTATGTCGATACGATATATCCTTGTGAACTTGAGATAAAAGATACCACAGAGTCTGACACATCTGTTTCATATTTGGATATTTTACTTGAAAAAGACGTTAATGGTAATCTAACAACCAAGCTTTATGATAAACGTGATGACTTTAATTTTTCAATCGTCAACTTCCCTTACTTATGCAGCAATATACCTTCATCACCTGCATACGGGGTATGTATCTCTCAGTTGATTCGATACGCAAGAGCATGCTCTACGTATGTACAATTTCTAAAACGAGGTAAATTATTGACAAATAAGTTGATGAAACAAGAATATCAGCTGTCTCGTTTAAAGTCATCATTTCGTAAGTTCTATGGTCGATACAATGACCTTGTCAGCAAATACAATTTATCATTGAGTCAAATGCTGACTGACGTTTTTCACACTAATTGTTAGGCCATTATTTACACACTGAATTGTCGACGGATTTTTCCGTTATTTCCCGATCATGATAAGGAGCACACGGCGGGTGTGACCGGTCGGCAGGGGATGCTCACTCCTCCATGGCACCTGATCCCACCTCTGATGTTTGGAGGTCCGTGTTTGCTCTGCTCCTATTTTGTATTGATTAATGGACTTTTGAGCTTGAATACTGTTCGTTATCTCCATATATTTCATGCCACACCTTTTAACCTATTATCGCCTTACAACACTAGGTGACCTTTTGGTCTCCCTAATAATGTACAATATAAGGTGACCTCTCGTCTCCGTATTCATACATAACTTCATGTGACCTCTGGTCCCCCTAATGATAGTACAATATAGGGTGTCCTCTGGTCTCCGTATTTATATATAACTTTGTGTGACCTATCTCCTGGGAAATTAAGTGTTTAAAACTTTCCGACAACAAAAATGCTAACGATGGAATGGCACTTCATTATAAACTTAGGTCGGTAAGGTGAATTCTGGAAATCTAAAAATTACACTCGAACAATCCGAATCCTAGGACTTGACTGATTAATGATGTTGCATGTAACATATAAATAATAAAATATAACGATGTCAATTAGCACAATTCTGAGTATGAGTGACAAATGGCTTAGATAGAATAACTCATGATATGTTGAGTAAATTGATTAAATCGACACCTTTTGAGTTATATGGTTATTAGGATTAATAAAGTCTTTCATGTTGTTTAAAGTAATTACAGTTGTTTAAAAGTATATTTCAAAGTCAGCTAAAACATGTCACTAAAATTGTTTTATCAAAAATTACACCTTGATAGACCTTTGGTCTCCCTAATAATGTACAATATAAGGTGACCTCTGGTCTCCCTAACGATGTACAATATATGGTGACATTTGGTCACCTTAATGTAAACTCTGGTATCTGTCCTGCACTCTGTACAATGTATGTATTGGGTAACCTCGAGCTCTGGTCTCCGTATTTATATACAACTTTATGTGACCCCTGGACTCTTAATAATGTAAAAAAGTTGTATATGAATACGGAGACCAGATCTAGAGGTCACCTTATATTGTACATTATTAGGGAGAGCAGAGGTCACATTATATTGAACCTTATTAGGGAGACCAGAGTTCACTTTATATTGTACATTATTAGGGAGACCAGAGGTCACCTTATATTGTATATAATTAGGGATACCAGAGGTCACCTTATATTGTATATAATTAGGGAGACCAGGGGTCTCATAAAATTGTATATGAATACGGGGGTCACCCTATATTGTACATTAGGGAGACTAGAGGTCTAAACCTTTTTTCATTATTCAGAAAATGTTTGTAGTTTGAATATCATTTGTAAAATTTGTTTGAAAATAAATTCAAGATTTTAGAAAGTTCAGGTGCAACAATTTCTGAACGAGGCGGAATATTGACAGGTGGATTGATTAAATGGGGATGACGAGAATCTAGTTTACGGTCATCATTTCGCAGATTCTATAGTCGATACAATGACCTTGTCGGCAAGTACAAATTATCATTAAGTCGAATGCTGGCTGACGTTTTTCGTGCTGGTTGTTAAGCCATTATTTAAATGCTAAATTGTCAACGATGGCGGGTGTGACTGGTTGGTGGGGGTGCTTGCTCTTCCTTGGCGCCTGGTCCTGCCTCTGATGATTTTAGGAGGTTCGTGTTTGCTCTGCTCAAAATTAATATTGTTTCAATGGACTTTGCAATTGATTACTGTTCGTAATCTTCATTATCTTCATATTTCATTATTTGTGTTATGATATAAAAAATAATGAAAGTTGTAAATAAATCTTTGTTAATGTAAGGTAAGAAGACAGCATAGAGTGAAATAAGTAATTTTTTCTTCACATGATAAAATCTTCAGATGCTTATTTTCATATTTGTTGCCTTTTTGAAAAGTCTTAGCAAGGTCCAGTTTCTTAAATGACTGATGATGATACTGAACGAATGAAAAAAATAATAATAAAAAGTGGACTCATTTCGCAATGTGCACTTTCTAACAAAACTACAAATAGTCGGCTGCTCGAGTGGCCGATAATAATATTGTTTTAAAAAAGTAAAGCAATAAACATTTGTGAAGAGATTAACCTTATTAACATTTAAATCCTCATCAAAATTGAAGGAAAAAATTTGTTAATTAGTCGAATTTATTTATGAATCGGATCTACGAATGTGTGAAGCGCTAGACTAGGATGCTTGAAAATTTATTGAAGGAGCACAAGAAAAGAATTTCCTTTGGTTTCTATAGAACAAACTGACATATTTGTTTGGGGGGGGGGGGAGGGGGGGGGGGGTCCGACACAGCTTCTTATGGGCCTGACCTATTAACATCTTGTCGTCTTGTGTTTAAACGTTAAAAACAGCAGTTTCACGTCTGTGCTAATCTATTAGAAAGTAGATGGATGTAATTTTAATAATATAATTGTATTTGAGTAACATTTTTAAATTTTGTTAAATAAAATTCAATTAAAATATAAAGTGACCTGCAGTCACCGTATTCATATAGAGGAATTTACTTTTGTGCCTTTAATGCCTGGAGTTCATATAATATTTTATTACTACGCAAAATGCGAACTATTTGCGGGTGACCCGAGGTCCTAGTTGAGCGTGCGTTTTATCCTCCTGCAGGAGAGAGGTATAATACGTATGCTTTTTTGGATCTCGTAACCAGGCAGAGCGCATGCATGCAATAAATTTCCATTGGAAAACAAAAGGGAAGAAATTCGGAATATATAATGGAAACTAGTAATGTGGACTGATACATGTACTATAGTCAGATGCAGAAATTTATACATAATTTGATCAACTTTTATTTAAAATGCAGAAGAATAAATGAATCAACTTTACAGTTAGTTTTTATAAGGTCACCTGAGTCACTCAGATGACCTATTGCTATCCACTTTCGTCCGTCGGCGTGCGATGTGCATTAACATTTGAACATTTTTAGCTTCTTCTCTGAAACCGCTTAACCAATTTCAACCAAATTTGGCATATAGCATCTATGGGTGAAGGGGAACAAAATTTGAGAATTTCATGGTCCCTGCCCCCTGGGGCCTGAGAGGTGGGGCTAAAACTACCAAAAATAATGCAATCTTTAAAAATCTTCTTCTTTACTCCTGGACAATTAGCAGTCAAACTGTTGACATGATTCTAATAAGCATTGAGCCCTCTTACAAAATTGTGAAATTCATGGCCCCAGGGTCAGGGGTTCTGGTGCTAGGGCGGGGCTATATAGATCATATAGTGAAAAATGCATTTATTCTTTGAAAATCTTCTTCTCTGCTCCTGGGTATTAAA